CTCTCCACTTGGAGCTCAACTATGTAGTCGAAGCACAGAACCACATGATCACTAGCTCCCAGGGGCCTTTCATACATGATACCCTCGATGTCGAACTACTCATGGTGAATACAAGGTCCAACCTTGCTGGTTCATCCTCTCCTCTCTCTCTGGTAGTGTCTCTAACATGTTGATGCATGAGGTTCTCCAGTACCACATCCATCATCTTGGCTCTCCATGTTTCGGGACCCCCATGGGGCTCCAGGTTTCCCCAGTCAATCTCCTAGTGATTGAAATCACCCATAACTAGTAACATTGCACACCCCCATGTGGTTGCACACCTGCCACCTCGTCTAGTGGTTGACACTTGCTCAGTTTGCTCTCATCGTATTCTTCTCTTGGCCTCCTGCATTTCTGTTGGTGGTTGTTACATTACGCAATTACACCTTATGTCCCCTCAGACAGGATGTTCCTACTAAGTATCCCTTTCGCCCATGCCATCCGATGCCTTCCATGTACTCAAACCCCACTGTTTCTAATGATCACTGCAACTCCTCCTCCCACCCCCCCCCCCCCCCTCTCCTCACCTCCTGTCTTTCCTGAAGAATTATGATATCCGGATGGAAAGAATTGAATCTGTTAATTATACTGGTGAGTTTTCGTTTCTGTGAGTGCTATTATGTTCTGGGAAGTCTCTTGATTCTTTCGTGCCACTCCTCATACTTAGTTTTTGTTATTCCATCGTCATTTGTAAACCACTCCTTCAACTCTTCTAAGACTGTGTCGTGGGAGTATATGGGTTGGGGAAGTGGGAGAACCTGGTAAGGAACTATGGGTGTTGCTGTGGGGTGAAGGTATGTAATGTAGTGGTGGGGGCAATGGATGTGACAGGTGTTTGATTATGAGTGGTTGGATGCACTGGGGAGTGACCTGGTTGGGAGGGCTTCTATAGAAAGTTTGAAGGAGGCTGTATTAGTTCTTCTTCGCAGGGTCTGGTCTCCTGTCTGTCATCCCATCCCCTCTCTTTCCCTCCTTTCTCCGTTTGACATCTCTCTCCGTTTCCTTCCTTTCTTTCTTGTGTTCTTCGAGGTCGAGATACACCCTCCTCGTATGCGTCATGTCCCTAAAACTTGCTTCTTCCTACAGAATCCTGGTCCCGAGTCGCTTCTGCCTTTGAAGGTCCAGCTCTCACTGGCGGTTTCTTTTTTTTACAAACCCCCCTATTCTCTAAAAATTTTCCAGCTGGGGGTTATGTGAGCTCCTTCTCCTATGTGCTTTATCATGATGCTTTCAATTGGACTTTTTTTTTCCCTTGTTTTCTTGCTTCATATTTTCCCCTCGACTTCCTGGAGCCCATACACAAAAGACTGACCTTGGGGGGGGGGGGGGGGGGGGGGGGGGGGGGGGGGGGGGGGGGGGGGGGGGGGGGGGGGATAAAAATTTAATTGATCAAATGATGTTAATGAGTTTAAACGAGTGGATTTTATCAGGTTTAAGAATATGAAGATTTAAGTTAAGATGGTTCAGATGGATATATGGTTCTTGGAGAAGTGGAAGGTACATTTTAACTTATATGATTTAATTGGGATAATGTTGTTTGTTATGGTGTTGGGAATCAAATTATAGATTAATATTTATGTTGAGAATGTAATAAAAGTGGTGATAGAAATGCATGTGGTGAAGTATTTAAAGAATGTAAAATGTTTTGTGGCGGAGGGAGATGTAGAGGTAGGGAAATAAATTTTTGGGATGTTATTATTGATGAGGGGGAAGTGTTTTAATGTTAATAGTTAGTATAGATGTATCATTGCTTAGGATGTTTTGAACATGATACTACACAATTAGCTGATTTCCAAGATATATACTCTATCAAATTTAATGAGAAGTTATTTCTAGTTTCTTGTCCCATTCATTGATCCCTTTTTGATGACTCTGCTGACCAATCTTCCTTTGGGCAATTTTCCTCCTCCTGTCCCTTGGTTCTCTTGTTGCTCTCTGGCAAACCATTTTTGTTTTATCCTGATTGCCTCAGAGTGGTGAAACCTATGTAGTTCTTTATGTTAGGTTAGTAGTGTTTGTGTCAGAGTGAGGGGGGGGTGGAAGTAGTGGAGGAACTGTGGCTATTTGGGAGCTGAGTGGGGGGAGGGGTGGGGAAGGGTTCTTGGGGTGAACGGGGAGGGGGAGGGTGAGAGTCGAGGGAGGTGATGGATCAGGGAAGTAGTGAATTTCGGTGGTGATGTGGGGAGTGTGTGTGTGCGTGTCTGATTATGTAACTCCACCTAGTTGAGGTTGTCGGGGGTCGAGTCCGAGTCTTCCTGGTGTGTGTGGGATGTTGTGTGGTGTTTTGTGTGAGTAGTGTGTAATTTCGTGTGGTAATTGTGTGTGGAATTAGTGTGGGTTTATTAGGACTGAAAGGAGGTGAGCCCGTGCTTTAAGGTAAGTCTCAGAGGTCCTTGCTGCCCCCCTTCTTGTGACCTTACCCAACCTCCTGGGATTTACCGCAACTTACAGTGAGTGTGTGTGCGTGTGTGGTTAGACTCACCTATTTGGGTTGCAGGGTCGAGTCCTAGCTCCTGTGTGTGTGTGAGTGTGTTGTGTGTGTGTGTGTGTGTGTGTGTGTGTGTGTGTGTTTATTATGTGGTGTGTGGTTATGTTGTTGTGTGTGTGTGTGTGTGGGGGGGGGGGTGTATGTGGGTGTGTGTGTGGTATGTGTTATGTGTGTGTATGTGGTGTGTGTGTGGTGTGTGTGTGTGTGTGTTTGTGTGTGTGTGTAATTAGTGTGGGTTTATTATGGGTCTGAAAAGTAGGTGGCGTTGTGCTTGGAGTGTAAGGTTAGATTCCAGTTGTCCTTGTGTCCACAACCTATGTTACCTGACTCCCTTGCAGTGTTGCCTATAACACCTGCTTATACTTGACCTTAATCGCCTTGTTCAATGATTAGCCTTTTGCTAACTTAATTGAATACTTAGAGCCTATTCTTTATCGTGCTATGTAAGTCAACCATTCACATTCAGCTTGGCGTAAATTGGAACCTGGAACCCCACACCCAAACAACCAAAATCCTCATAGGTGATACAGTACTTGTATTGCAGCTGTAGCAGTGTAGATTGTCCAGGTCGATGTGACGTCCTGGATAGATCCAGCTCGATGTACGTCCTGGCTAGATCCACCTCAATTTCTTCTCGTTAATAATGTACCCTATTCACTGTATTTCTTTCACTGGTCACACTATTGTTTCACTTTATTAAAATCTTGGGTGACACTTGGCAACGCCGCCTTCACACTAGCCTGCGCCACAACGCTTTTATTTTCCAGATCACTTTCAAAATTGTGGCTCTCCCCACACTTGTGTGGCTCAGGCAATTAAAAAAAAAACCACTTCTAGGATTGTTGACTACCCTGACACACTTAGCAACCCTTGCAGAACACTTGTAGCCCTCAAAAACACTTAAATCCCCGGAGCACCGACGGCGTGACTAGCCTGCTCGCTGTCCCTACTGCGTGTGTGTGTGTGTGTGTGTGTGTGTGTGTGTGTTGGACACTGGTATATTAAGGACAGGTGAGAGTAACAAGGAAGGCTCGTGTGAGTAAAGAAAATAAAAGAATGTGTAGTGCTGATGGTAATAATAATAATTTAATAATAAAAATAGATTTTTTGTTTTTGTTGTTGCCGTAATGATGACACAACGTCTGAGAAATGACATAGTCAGGTTTGATCCCAGAAAGAAGAGGTTAGCTCGTAATTCCTCGGAAAAAAGCTCTTCGTCAACGTCAACGTCAGGTCACTCCCATTCCTGATCAGCCGAGTTGTGGTGTATACTTTATGGACTGCGTGCGGCTAGCACCAACAGTCTGGTTGATGAGTAAACGCGTGTGGCCTGGGGCCAGGGGGCAATGAACTCCTTTCCTTAATAGTCTTCAGGTAACCCTCAGGTGGAAGTTGTGCCGAGGACTCGCCTCTCAACTTTCTAATTGCATGCTTCGTTGCATTCTTGCATGGCAATAACACAACTATTCTTTGACGGGAGGAGGCGGATGCAACCTCCAGGTAATGCTTACCAGCGCTCCTCTTGTACCTCCAGTATACAGCGCTACCTGAGAAAAAATATTGTCCCGCTGAAATGACATGTATTATGTATGTGCAACATTGCTATCAGCTTCGTGTGTTATGTAATCCCAAGTATTTCTTGAGTTATGGTAGAATATAATTTCGCAACATTTTGGCTAGAGCAGTTCACAGTCAACAAATGGACGACGTTTCAGCCAGTCCTGAACCCCACATTAAATTGAGAATGATTTGTGTAAGAATGGTATATAATACCGACAAGATGAAATTAAGACACATGTGCAACATCTGTTTATCTTTATTGTAGACGTTTCGCCATCCAGTGGCTTTATCAATACAAATTCTAGGACATAACTTGAAGACAGTAGAACTATGTACAGAAGATGAGGTAATCAGTCCCTCAACCTAGGAGTAGGTGCGAAGAGCACCATAGTCGTGGAGATTCTGAAGCAGAAGAAAGGAGCCTGGCGCTTATATAGTAACGTCAGGTGTAGCAGATGAGGGCATAGTCACTGGAAGGCGGGATTCCCCAGTGGAAGTAGGTCCTTCCCAAAGAGATGGGTTAGTTGTCGTAGTCGTGAAGGTTATGGACATGTCCTCAGAATCAAGATTCCATGATGTTGCAGTGTCTGACAAGTTGTGTAAGAATGGTATATAATACCGACAAGATGAAATTAAGACATATGTGCAACATCTGTTTGATAAGGGTCCAGGACCGACGCAGAGGGCGTCTAGGTTTTGATTTTCAATTTACGAGTTATGGAATGTTTGGGGCAATTCGCGTATTTTTCTATTGTATTTGCCAGGGCCAAAGTCGTAACTACCGGAGCCAACTGATGGGTGTGCCTATTTGTAGAGTGTTGTTTGTGTGAGACTGTGAGAAGATCCTAAAGAATGTGCTGTTTATTTGTTACAGACTATGAGAAGGTCCTAACGAGTGTATTGTTTGTTTCAGACTGTGAGAAGATCCGTCTACCAGAGAACCTGGAGAGTATCCCCCGGGCTGACCACATCCCCACCCAGCGCCACCGCTGGAACACCAACGAGGTGAGACCATCTCCTCCAGTGTGTGCTTTATAGACTTAACCTTCCCGAGGGAATCAAATCAAGGGTCTCAAACCAGGGATGTCTTAAGCTAGGGGCTTCAAGCCACGGTCTTAAAAGGCTGGGATTTCTAGCCATAGTGCTTCTTAAATTAAGCCAGGGATCTCAGACTGTGGGTCTTACGCTAAACCTGAATTCAATCAGAGGTGACCATATTCTTGTGTGTTGCTAACCTTTTGTAGTTCCCTATTCCAGAAGTGTTCCCTACTCCAGATACATTCTTCATTTAAAAGGGATTTCCCATCATTACTAATTTCAGGGGTGCTCCTTACCCTGGAGGTATTGCATATGCTAGGATAGAGGTAGACAGTGTGGCAGGACAGTAACATGAGCGAGTGACCAGGACAACTGCGTGACTGCCGCCGTTAACCACTGAATATTAAAGAGGACCAAGTCAGCTGATAAAATATAAACATTGACGAAACTTCATTACCATTAGAGAGAGAGAGAGAGAGAGAGAGAGAGAGAGAGAAGAGAGAGACAGAGAGAGAGAGACAGAGAGAGAGAGACAGAGAGAGAGAGACAGAGAGAGAGAGACAGAGAGAGAGAGAGAGAGAGAGAGAGAGAGAGACAGAGACAGAGAGAGAGACAGAGAGAGAGAGAGAGAGAGAGAGAGAGAGAAGAGAGAGAGAGAGAGAGAGAGAGAGAGAGAGAGAGAGAGAGAGAGAGAATGCACTGTGTGCGCGCTTGTGTTTTTGTGTGTACGTAGATACGTACATAATTATTAAACATAGTGCGTGCTGAGACCTCGTTAAAAGGACAGATGCCTTCGTAACCTCTGGCCGCCGCCGCCAACGCTGCCGCCGCCCACAGGAAAGTAAAGTCAATATACGTCTTAAGTTTCACCATGGAGCCTTGTAAGATGACGTAGTGTATTGGAAGTGTATTATTTTAATTAACACACACACATACAAACAACACATACAAACACATACAAACACACACACACACACACACACACACACCACACACACACACACACACCACACACACACACACACACCCCACACACACACACACAACACACACACGCCCACACACACACCACACACCAACACACACACACACCACACACACACACACACCACACACACCACACCACACACACACACACACACACACCACACACACACACACACACACACACACACACACACACACACACACACACACACACACACACACACACACACGGCAAGATTACCTCGCTACTCTTCTGCCGTATTTCTCTTATTAGAGGGACGTCTTGATACTAGAGAAGGGATCTTGATCTACGGAATTTGAACTATCCTCCCCTTCCTCGCATCAAACCTGATTACCTCACAAATCCGAGGCTCCATATAACCCCTGAGGATTTTTGGCTCTCCCCTGAATAATGATGGCGATGATGATGATAATTAATAATAATAGTCTTCGTGTACTCACCAATATGTGGTTTGCAGGGGTCGAGTCACAGTTCCTGGCCCCGCCACTTCGGTGGTCGCTACTAGTTTCCCTTTCCTGGCTTCGAGAGCCATAATCGTACCTCTTCTTAAAGTCATGTATGGATCCTGTCTCTACTACTTCATTCTGACTACTCAAAGGCTGAAGAAATATTTCTAACATCTCCGTGACTCATCTAAGTTTTCAACTTCCGTGTGTGTACTTACTAATTTGTGGTTGCAGGGGTCGATTCATAGTCTCTAGCCCCGCTTCTTCGCTGGTCGCTACTAGGTCCACTTATCCATGAGCTTTATCGAACTTCTTCTTAAAGCAGTGCATGAATCTTGCCTTCACTACATCACTCTCCACTTTGTTCCGCTTCCTGACGACTCTGTAGAAATATTTCCTGACATCTATGTGACTTATCTAAGTTTTCAACTTCCAGTTGTGACCCCTTGTTGCTGTGACCCCTTGTTGCTGTGACCCCTTGTTGCTGTGACCCCTTGTTGCTGTGACCCCTTGTTGCTGTGTCCCCTTGTTGCTGTGTCCCCTTGTTGCTGTGTCCCTTTGTTGCTGTGTCCCCTTGTTACTGTGTCCCCTTGTTGCTGTGTCCCCTTGTTGCTGTGACCCCTTGTTGCTGTGTCCCCTTGTTGCTGTGACCCCTTGTTGCTGTGTCCCTTGTTGCTGTGAACCCTTGTTGCTGTGTCCCTTGTTGCTGTGACCCTTGTTGCTGTGTCCCCTTGTTGCTGTGACCCTTGTTGCTGTGTCCCCTTGTTGCTGTGTCCCTTGTTGCTGTGACCCTTGTTGCTGTGTCCCTTGTTGCTGTGTCCCCTTGTTGCTGTGACCCCTTGTTGCTGTGACCCCTTGTTGCTGTGACCCCTTGTTGCTGTGACCCTTGTTGTTGTGACCCTTGTTGCTGTGTCCCCTTGTTGCTGTGTCCCCTTGTTGCTGTGTCCCCTTGTTGCTGTGTCCCCTTTTTGGGTTGTGTCCCTTGTTGTTGTGTCCCCTTGTTGCTGTGTCCCCTTGTTGCTGTGTCCCCTTGTTGCTGTGACCCCTTGTTGCTGTGACCCCTTGTTGCTGTGACCCCTTGTTGCTGTGACCCCTTGTTGCTGTGACCCTTTGTTGCTGTCCCCTTGTTACTGTGACCCCTTGTTGCTGTGTCCCCTTGTTGCTGTGACCTCTTGTTGCTGTGACCCTTGTTGCTGTGTCCCTTGTTGCTGTGACCCCTTGTTGCTGTGTCCCCTTGTTGCTGTGACCCTTGTTGCTGTGTCCCCTTGTTGCTGTGACCCCTTGTTGCTGTGTCCCCTTGTTGCTGTGTCCCCTTGTTGCTACGTCCCCTTGTTGCTGCGTCCCCTTGTTGCTGTGACCCCTTGTTGCTGTGACCCCTTGTTGCTGTGACCCCTTGTTGCTGTGACACCTTGTTGCTGTGACCCCTTGTTGCTGTGACCCCTTGTTGCTGTGACCCCTTGTTGCTGTGACCCCTTGTTGCTGTGGCCCCTTGTTGCTGTGGCCCCTTGTTGCTGTGTCCCCTTGTTGCTGTGTCCCCTTGTTGCTGTGACCCCTTGTTGCTGTGACCCCTTGTTGCTGTGACCCCTTGTTGCTGTGACCCTTTGTTACTGTGACCCCTTGTTGCTGTGACCCCTTGTTGCTGTGTCCCCTTGTTGCTGTGACCTCTTGTTGCTGTGACCCCTTGTTGCTGTGTCCCCTTGTAGCATGCTGTGACCCCTTGTTGCTGTGTCCCCTTGTTGCTGTGTCCCCTTGTTGCTGTGTCCCCTTGTTGCTGTGTCCCCTTGTTGCTGTGTCCCCTTGTTGCTGTGTCCCCTTGTTGCTGTGTCCCCTTGTTGCTGTGACCCCTTGTTGCTGTGTCCCCTTGTTGCTGTGACCCCTTGTTGCTGTGACCCCTTGTTGCTGTGGCCCCTTGTTGCTGTGACCCTTGTTGCTGTGACCCCTTGTTGCTGTGTCCCCTTGTTGCTGTGTCCCCTTGTTGCTGTGTCCCCTTGTTGCTGTGTCCCCTTGTTGCTGTGTTCCATCTCTGAAACATTCTCTCCCTATCCACTGTGTTTACCTGGAGTTTACCTGGAGAGAGTTCCGGGGGTCAACGCCCCCGCGGCCCGGTCTGTGACCAGGCCGCCTGGTGGATCAGAGCCTGATCAACCAGGCTGTTGCTGCTGGCTGCACGCAAACCAACGTACGAGCCACAGCCCGGCTGATCAGGAACTGACTTTAGGTGCTTGTCCAGTGCCAGCTTGAAGACTGCCAGGGGTCTGTTGGTAATCCCCCTTATGTGTGCTGGGAGGCAGTTGAACAGTCTCGGGTGTGTACTTGCCTAATTATATTCACCTAATTGTGGTTGTAGGGGTCGAATCATAGCTCCTGGTCCCGCCTCTTTACTGGTCGCTGCTAGGTTCACTCTCTCCCTGCTCCACGAGCTTTATCATATCTCTTCTTAAAGCTGTGTGTGTGTGTGTGTGGTGTGTGTGTGTGTGTGTGTGTGTGTGTGTGTGTGTGTGTGTGTGTGTGTTGTATGAGAAGAGTGGACAGGAAGTCTGCTGCTGCCACACACACCAGTACCACTGTGGCCTTACTAATGTTCATCACTAGCCTCTATTGATTACCTGTGGATACTGTCACGCCCAGCCTCACCTTGCCCTGCCTCACCATGCCCTGCTTCACCCTGTCATGCCTCGCTCTGCCCCAGCACCTGACATACCCTGCCACACCATAACGAACACACACATACCTTGAGCTCCCACTTACCGAATCTACAAATAATCTACAATTTAGAGACGGAATATTTAATGAAGCTTTGCTCCTTCGTGAAGCAAGTCACAGTTGGTCCAGGACTGACGGAAAATCTCATCTCGAGTTTCATCTCTCTCTCTCTCTCTACCTGTAAGTGTTGGGTTAATTAATTGTGAATTCTTCCAGTAGCGGTACTGTGACTGTTGTTCCTCTTCCAGTCGTCTGTTTAATGTTTACGTATATCTATGGATGGTTCGGGGATGAGCGCTCCTCCCTGCGGCCCCTTCCAGATATTGCCTCTGTTGACGGAATATTCGGACAGACAACGGACGGCTCCTTACCCTTATCTAGGAAGCCTGACTCTGAAAGTAAATTTTTTCTATAGCGGTAAGGGTTTAGCGCGTCGCAGAAATTACTGTAAATCCTGTGTCTAACTTATTCGTCTGCTTCCTGTGTTTTCATACTTCCTCTTCTGCCTGTCTACCTAGTTTTTATGCTGCCTGTGTCTACCTAGTTTGTCTGCTTCTTGTATCTTCATTGTTCGCCTGTTTCCTCTGTCGGCCTTGTTTGTCTGCTGCCTCACACTGGTGATGGCTCTGCCGTGCACAGTATCTAGTGTGCTCTATTTCCCTTGTATTTCCTGCTCTCCCTCTTGTCCCATTCACCCTCACACGAGGACGATGTGGGTGTTGACTGCTGCTGGTGCCAGTGCTGGTGCTGCTGGTGCCAGTGCTGGTGCTGCAGGTGCCAGTGCTGGTGCTGCTGGTGCCAGTGCTGGT